AGTTATAATACTATAAAACAAGTTTGCTTTTTCATCAGAGAAGTGTAAGAAATCCCTGCAATTGTAGGTGTTATAATGGTGCATGATCCATGTTGATTAATGATTGTCTACTGAAGATATGGACTGAATGGATTCCTCCTTTCTACTTGGATATCTTACAAGTATGATTTTTAAAATAGTTTTAGGGCACATGAGAATAAACTACAAATGCCTTAACCATGAGGAGAGTGGTAGTCTTAACCCATAAATGTGTAGGAGAAGTATGGCTCTTCTCAGGTTTTCAACACAAGATACAGATGCTTGACACAGAGGAGCAAAATTTCAGCTATTTGGCAAAGTATGTTCAGTATTAGAAGAGATTTCATTGCTTATGTGAATGCATGGGCTATAAACTATTCATTTCGGCTCTCACGGAGAACTTCTGAGGTTAGTCATTACAAGTGGTTGAAAACAGATCACAATTTCACATTTGATAGGGACAGAAATGGCATGTCCAAACATCACTTAGGTTCCATGAGTTTAATCATGCTTAACCTGACTAATGTTCAAAACTGTCTAGACTTCAATTGATGAGTTTTTGTTGTTCTTTTTCTTTCTTGAGAAGAGTGTGGGACACTGTTTCCATTGTATGTGGGGTTTTTGTTTTCTTTCCAATCAGGCTCAAGTTTGCAATTTTTATCTTGAGAACTCTGTGGTTTTCTACATGGATGCTTTACTACCTCTGTCTTGCCTTCATCTTTCCAGGAATCTTCTTACTTCAGAAGAACTTGTATTTCAGAACTTAACAGAGTCACTGGGTTTAGTATTTTTGTCTAGCAAAAATGAAATTGGACTTGTTAATGCAGTGAAATTTGGAAATTCTGCTTTTCATCTCTTACTCAGTTTCCATCTTCTGAGTGCAGGTTAGAACCAGTGATACATAAGTGCAGGTTGATGTAAATCTTTTGTGTGTGTAAATGTTCCTGTTTGAAAGAAAATACTTGTATTTTGTGTTTCTTAAAGCTAGTTGCATTGTACAACAATTGTATAGTTAGTGTAAAACTTTGAGTCTTCAGTTCTGTTTAAAACTGAGGAACTACAGAGGTTTAAATCAAAAACACTTGTGTAGTATAAAAAGAGAAATTTTGGAAAAGCATAACCTGCGGGCAGGGTAGTTCAACCTTGTTCAGGTGTTCCTGGCTGCTTGGCAAAAGGATACAATTTATCTGGTTTTCTAGAGTTTTTCTCTACAATAAGTTTTAGTCCTTTTATTGGGGAAGTACTGTTCCAAATGGGTGATGACAAAATGATATCCTCATTACTTTCTAAGTCTATAACTGCTGATTTGGCTTTTTCCCATTCAAAAAGTGTAATGAAAGAAAAAAATAATAATTTTAGTAAATACACTTCTGTATGCACAGTTGTATTAACAAATACAAAAGTCAAATTATTTTTTCTTTGAAATTAGATGTATTATGGTTGGGAATAGGTGTGGGAGGGTTGTAATTAGGTCTCCACCTCATATTTTATTGATCTCTGGAATGTAGGTTTGCATTTCCAGCCTGTGCTCTTTGGACTTCGAACCTGATATTATCTGTTCTTGAGAACAGAAAAGTTTGGTGTTCAAATTCATGTGATAACATGCAGAAGAAATTTAAATTTCTTGGCATTAATGTAGTGTTTTAGCATAAAAGTTTAGAATAAAACAGAAAAATAGATCAGACTTCCACAATACGCACTCTGTAAACTGAAAGGCTTATCTTCCTTTACTGATTTACTTTAAGTAAGGAGGAACTGTAAAAATATAACTGGTTATCATTCCCTCTTACACCTAGATTTTGTACGTGAGTGTAGATATTAGATCTTCCCTGTCTGGAGTCTTGAGTAAGTGGTTACAAGCAGTAGCATCAGAGAAATGTGCGTGATGGTCTGAAGATAGGTTGTTGGGATTATTATTTTTTTTTTTTTAAATTAAAAAAAAAGGCTGTACAAGGCTGTACTACAGGGATACTTTTATTTGTTTAGTTTAGTTTTTAAACATCAAAACACTGTTACATTGTAAATATTAAAGGAAGCTTATTTATGTTGAAACAAAACTATTTCCCTCATGATTAAACTCCTCTCAGAGCATGATGTAGGATAATTTCGGAGCTTTATCTTACATCCTACTGTTGAACTCATGAACAGCCTTACTACTTCTCATTATAGGCAAGTAGAAACACAAATAATAAGTCTTAACATAAGTAGCTTTCAATACTGTTTGGGTTTCTTTTTCTTTTTAAACCCTTTGTGTTCTTTGCAGTGAGACTTTTTTTGCTCGGTTTGGCTTTCCACACAAATACTTTCTGATCAACTAGTGTGTTTGGGTTTTTTTGTTATTTTTTTTTTTTTTTAACTTATGATTTCAACGTGTAGCTTCTTGAGGTGTTGCATAATGTCAGCAAACTTGGAGCTTGTTGGACTGAAAAGCTCTGCAGTCTTTTCAAAAGAACTTACAGACTTGCTTAGTGATCCTGAATGTCACCACCTATGTGGTGAGCATATATAGAAGGTGTGCATTGAACAAAAATTTCAAGATAAATCAAAAATACCTTGGTAGGTGAGGTAGAAAGCTACACCAGAATCTACATTGATTTTTAAAGATTAAAGTGAAATAATGAAAAGTTAGCAAATGCCAGAACTTTGCCTGTACAACTTTGAATTTAATCCCCAAGTACATATGTATGTTGATTTAAATAAATAAATAAATAGATTTTTTAGATCTTCAAACACGTTTATATCTCTGTTTTCCTCACAGGACACTACTTCAGCCAATGCTTGAGACTTGCTTTAGTGATAAATTGGAGCTGTGTAGGAAGGACCACTAGTGTTTCCATAATCTGGGCTTCAGTTATTGCAGAAGCTGATGTTTACTGAATAAACAATATGAAAAGAAAAGCAGATGTTGTCAGTGTTAAGTATGCTGCCTTGAAGAATTGTTTTTGAATGCTGCTTTTGCTAAGTAGTTGCAAACTAATTAATATGTAATGCTGATGTTTACCATCTTCATGGTAATTAAGTTGTTTAAATTTAAGTTGACTAGTCACTGTTCTTTATTTTGTCGTGCTTAATTATGACCTGGTTAGCAGAAGTGTGTGGAATGGGTTTTGCATCTGAAGTCAGTGGAATCTGGATTGTGAATGTATGAGTTTTAATATGCTGATGTATACACTGGAAAAATTGAGCTTTACAAATTGGCACCCAAAATTAGTGGGCAGTTTCACCTCTTTTGTTTTAACTTAATCCACCAGAAAAACGTCAGAATTCATACTGTCTTGTTTAGTCTGTTTCACTTTCCCCGTATTTCAAGTGTGAGAGCTATAAAGAAGTCCTTGAAGAAATTAGGCTGTGTATTAAAACAAAGCATAAAGTTGTATATTAAACCACAGAGAAATGTATTGAATTCTTGCTGAAATACACTGAAAAGGAAATATCATCTGTTAATGCTTAGAATAACAAAAAAGGTTGTGAAGTGAGGAGAAAGTGAGCAGTCCCACAGTTTTCCTGAAAATATAGGAGAAGACTGATATCCTTAACTTTTGACGTATGGGTAATGAAATGCCTGTAACTTTAATGTTGGTCTTGAAGTAATCTCTTCATGTAGCTTCTTAGCTTTTAAAGCAAATTACAGATTGAAGTTTCATCTACAGTATTCACTTGATAACCTGTGATTCATGGCTAGAATTAGACGCAGCCTTCATTGCTTGAGCTGTGGCAGTAATACACAGCAGTAATAGGTTACTATAGGTTGCTGTTCCCTGTAGACCAGCATTAGATTCTGTTCTGGGAAGTTTTGAAAACTTAATGACAGGAACGTTGTAACTTGAAATGTGCTTAAGTGAACATGGACTACTCGGCCTGTGATCTTTCTGCCATAAAAATCATTGCTCCCTTAGTGGTTTTGTTTGGTTGGTTTTTTGTTTTTGTTTTTAATTTTGGCTTGACACAATCCTTAGTTTTCTCACTCTAGTAACAGGCTTCTTGGCTACCAAATTGTGACTTTCCCTTCAAGATTGTGATTCTCTTCTTGTACTGACTTCATGACATTCTCCTCCTTCACTTGCTTGCCAAAACCTATTTTCTCTGTGACCCATTCATTTGAGCTCTCTAATGCTCTGCATTCAAATTGGTTAGTAGCTTCCTTGGTTCAGGAAGAAGATTCTGAGATTTTAAGACACACCATGAAGCAGTCTAAATCCAAAATTGTTCAGACTTGAAGTTTAGGGAGCACAGGTGGATTTTGCTGGGGTAATCTGTGGAAAAAAATCTTAGACTCCCTTGAGTACATTAAAAAACAAAAAAGTTTTTTACAGTGTGGCTTCATAAGTGGACCAAACCTTTTGTTTGTTTAACTTGGGGAGTTGAAATAACAAAACCACCAATACTTAAAAGAAATTATTCTCTCGCTTAATCTCAACCCACTGCTCCTCTAAATCATAGTGCAACTAGCCTAAAATGAGTAACGTGTATCTCTTGGTGCCTGTTAGGAAAAAGAAAAAAACAACTTTGTTTTGTCCTTCTGTTTTGTAACCTCAGCTCTACCTGTTTGGCAGAAATTATACAATTAAGAAGAGAATATTATGGTGAGGAGTGGCAGACAGTATTTCTAGGTTGTCCTTTAGGCTTCTCATTTAGTTATCTATTAAATGAGATAAAGGGTGAGATCAGTTTTGTCTCTTCTTGCCCTGTGCAAATGGAAAAGATATGAGATACTGAACTTTTTTGGCAACCTGTCTGTTTGGATCTGGGGGGTTAAAAGAAAAACGTAAGCTGTATATTCAAGAACAGATACCCCACCCCCTAAACACCCAAATTTTTACTAATAATTGTGTGTTGTGATCATGTCTTGAGGCAGGTTATTTGAACAGTCAATGCATAAGCTACTTCTGTTGTGGCAAGTCAAATTGGGGAGGGTCAGGGGGAATAAAGGAGTCTTAAGTTACTGTGTACGTAACTAGGATGGGTTCTTATTTGACCTAAAGTCTGTCTTGATGCAGCAGCACAAGCCAGCGAGGAGACTGTCACATTTCGCCGTGAACGCAGCACATTTAGGCGTCAGGCAGTACGACGCCGGCACAATGCAGGGAGTAACCCTACCCCTCCTACATTGCTCATCGGATCACCCCTCAGGTAGGGTATCTAAATGTTCCACCATATTTAGCATGCATGCAGCAGACCACTTCTCCTCACACCTGCCAGTGTTGCCAGGAAAGCACTTTTTACTTCCTTCCCCACCATAACCTCCTTGAGCTGTCACTGCATGTCACTGTGGGCTTGTTGAATTGTGCATGTATATGTGGCACTATTATCAAAATGATCAGGATAGCCAGTCTCTAACATGTTATAGTTGATTTCAGGTTGATAACAAAATGAATTAATGCTAACAAACTTAGACTCAGTGGTTTTTATAAAAAACTTTAGAAACTTTTAATTTCAAGTGATAAAAAAAAAAAAAGCCCAACCCAAGAATATACTATCCATCACTCCTCATTTTGGTTTTCTTTCCTTTAAGAAAGTAAGCATTAGGGACTAGTTCTCTAGTCACTTTTCACATCTGTAGATAGTGAGAGATAAGCATAATAACATAATGGGAGAGCATTATAAAAAGCTAAATCATACATGCAAAGGTTCCAAATCTAAAATACAGGTAAACCATTATATGAACATCCTGCAGCTTTTTTCGAACAAAAGAGAAATAATGAAGTAACAGCAATGTCTTTGTTATAGAATACACAGTATTGCTCAGTATTAAAACTAATTGTGTGGCATTTTGCATGCCTTGGCAATGTTTAAAATGAACTACATACATGTATCCCAGGAGTCCCCAACCTTCACTGGCCCATTTGTTAACAGTACTGAGCCTAGTGATATATTACATGTGACAACTCTGTTTGATCTGTCAACTTGAACAGTAGAAACAGCAACCACAAGTTTTTAAACTTGCTTTTTAAATCTTTTGAACCCGCTGTTGCCTACAGTGTTGGAGAATCTGGCAAGCAGAATATGACCTGTAGAGGAAGGAACACTCCCCTTTACATATCAAAGTAATTCTTCCTCCAGTTATATGATAAATATGCAGGAATAATTGTGTATGTTGTGTATTCTTAACATAGCATCTTCATGTGCTAAACTTATCTTTCAATAATAGGAACAGTCTGCTTTTGTGTTTCAGGAATACTTGTGTAATTTTTTTTTTAACTGGAAAAAGCAATAGAAACTGAGCAAATAGAAAGAAAATATTTTACAGTAGAGGATGGGGGAGGAATTGTGCTGTGTGGCACCACTGAAATAATCAAGTACTAAGTCTCTAAATTTTCCTCAGGCAGGGTGATTGCAAGAATGGTACCTAAAAATCTAACAAATGGAGGATTGACTTCTGCCACATCAAGGATTGGAATTAGTTAGATGTGTTTTTACTGGCCAGTGAAGTATGTAGCAGTAATCACATTTCAGATAACTTTTCATTAAACTTCTGGTCTTGCTGAACGTAGCTTGTTCAACTTTAAGTTAGTGATTTACCTCGCAATGAGGGATGCTAAAAACTTTGCAATCTCTCAGATCACCTTTGCGTTACTTTTTTTGTGGGTTTTTTTTTTTTTAGAGGTGGTAGTATTGTTCTGTGTATTGGTATGTAAGAGGCTGTGCAGACTAATCAGAGCCCCTTAACTGTGCATTAGCCAGAAAACAGCAAGTTTTCTTTCTCTTAGGTAGAAAGTAGGGCAAATAAAGGAGGCTGTATTAAACTGAGGTTGACAGCTGCCTCGTTTTCACGTGCTAGTGCGGTCATTAGGATTCCCATGGATTAAGCTGAACTTCAGTGAGAGATCATGAGAAAACTGAAGTTGATGGAAATAACTTCCTCATGAGACCAGATATTCAAGGGTGAAAAAGTGGACCAAATATTAGTATATTTGGCCTTGTATTTCCTCTCTAAATTTGTTCCTTTCTAAATAATAACTTAAAAATCTGTACTCTGTCTGACATAATTAAAAATACTTGTATTATAAAGATATATTCAGAATTGAATACTTAGTGAGGTTACTTTACTTGAAGTATTGTTTGTAATGCTAAATGACTGTTCCTTGGAGTGGAGTTAAATTCCCTTAGTGCAACCAGACACTAAAGTGCTTTCAGATTTGTTGGACATAAATTCCATTTGAACTACCAACTGTGGAATGTATCTGAAAATTTGTATTTATTACTGTTGTGATTTCTAGGTGAACAGTCTGAAAAAACTTTCCTTTATATGGGCAGCTTAATGTTAGCGTAAATTCTATGTGTTGCTGGAAGAAGAAACCCCTAAGAAAGATTAAAAAAAAAAATAAAAAATTGTGCATAAGGAAGAAATGCGAAGAAACAGAGATTTTTAGCCAGTTACCACCAAGACCCTTTCAAAAGATCACTGCAACTGTACTGACATTATTTGTGTGTGCTAGTAGTGAGCTTCCTTGGCCTAGTTCCTGATACTGTTAGTCCATGTGATTTCAGATGTTAAACTTCTAAGAGTATTAGATCTTTACTTGCCCTGATGTTACTTCTTTCTTATTCTTGCCAGCAAAACTTTAATCTCCCAATCTTCTAACTCTTGCATAAAATTTGACATTGTGGGGATGTTCCCTTAGAACCTGTTGAGTTCCACCTCATTTTATTTTTTAGAATTTTCTATCCCATATTGCAATTACTTTTCACTTCCTCTGTGGAATATTTAGTGAAACAGACAATGACATTATATATGTATGTGCTTACCAATGGTAGATACTTAAGTAAAACATGGTCTAGTAAATTCTGCTAGTTTCATGCTAAATTAGACACAAGAGTAGTTTGCCTTTTAACTTAGAAACAAAACAAAACAAAAAAGCAAACCCCCAAGCCCACACTGAAACAACCAACTACTGATAGGTTTCTGTCCTGCCTAAATGTAAACAATGTTTTAGGCACTTTAAACGTAATTATATGTTGGCATCCTATGTATTCAGTGGTGTCTGCATGTGTGTCTGATACGAGAACATAAGTGACTATCTGAAGCAGAATTTTAATTTTATAATTATTAATTAGAGAATAAATCTTTTACATATCTATGCAGTCTGTTAATGTCAGTGTTTTGGGTTCTTGTGACAGATGTGGATAACCACTGAAAGGCAACTTTGTATATACCTTTTGGTATGTAGCTACTATTTAAGGGAAAGCAGTATTGTTTAGCATTGTTTTGGTGTTTCTAATAATACTTAAGGGAGACATTGAAGGCTGGCACATCTGTGAGCTTCCTTAGGGCTTTTGTTGACATGTAGCTCACAGAGAGCCTTGTCTACAGCAGCACAACACTGAATTTAAAGTTCAGATTCAAATATGTTAGAATATGATAATAATGAGTTGCAGTTTTTTACCTCATGAGCTGTGTGCATGTCTGCTTTATTTTGCATGTGCTTTTCTTAATACATATTCTTTTACTTACATTGGTGTTTTGTTTTCCAGTGGTGCTCTAACAAAAGAACTGAAAGGCAGATGTAGAAAATATTGTTAAAAGCAGGTGCATCAGATATAACCCCTCAACTTTTAGTAAGCTCTTGCTTTTTCAGTTGCCTCAGCAATTGTAGCAGCACACTGTAAAGTGAAACGTTAAAAGCAACTTGTGATAAAGATTGTTTTTCAAAGGAGTGCTTAAGAGATATTTTCAGACATATAAAAGAATTTGTATTTTAAAGACTACAGAAAATAACTTCTTAATTTGATTGCATCCCACAACTAATGACTGTAACATCTAACTTCTTTAAATGCCTAAAATGAAGGGTAATAAAAACACTAATCTTGCAAAGTAGATGTGATATAGAAGTGTAAACATCATGTATTCTGACACTTTGCCATATTTAATATTAAACAAGCTATTAAAAAATAACTGTTAAATAGCTTTATAAAATTTTGCAATGAGAAGGTTGTGAAGAGGAAAATAACATTTTCAAGCGTCTACTCATATAACTATAAACGTACAAATTTCTCTGAAGCCTCAGCTGACTTTTAAAACCTGCTTTTTGATGCAGATATCTGGGTATAGAACTATTTCTTTGTGGTAATAGTACTGAGTAATAAGGTTTTTACTCTAATGTCAAAAAAACTTTAAAATAGACTTAAAACTTTTTCCAATTAATAATTTGTTATAATCATTCTTAATATGTTCAAAAAATTCTGAATCCAAAGGTTTAAATACACAGTTATCTTCAAGGCCTGTGCTAGCCTATAGCTACTAACAAAGCTTAAAGACGTTTTGTTGTTGGGGTGCAGATTAATAGCAAAAAAGATGTTAAAAAAACCTCCAAACAGCCAACTAAACAGTTGTACCTCAATGGGCAAAAAGGACTCTCATGAGAAGACTGAAATGGTCCCTGCTGTATGTAGGTTAGTCTTCAATTAGACTAACCACCAGTAATTTCTTTTGCACTCACAATTTAAGACCTATTCTTAAGAATATAGTTGAGGGTGACTTGAGGAGATGTTAGAAAGCAATACTACTTCTAAGAAGTAGGACAAGAACTGTCTCTCTAGATTACTGATGTAACTAGTGTCCACATGATCTGTTATACAGAACTTCTGGGTTATCTTCACACTAATAAGTGGCTTCTTAATGATATACTCTCTTAAGTTTTCCTCTTTAAACTACAAAGTCTTGTTTTGCTTCACTTCTAGCTATTTTTCTTTTCTCCCTGGTAATATGTCCCCAATCCGTGTTTTCTCGTAGCCTTCAAGATGGTCAGCAAGGCCAGCAGCCCTCCTTGCAGGTCAGAGGGCAGTCCCGCCCCCCTCCCCAGGCAGCTGTGCTCAGCGCTAGCGCCTCCTTGCTGGTGAGAAATGGGAGTGTCCACTTAGAAGCACCACATGCCACTGCATCTGCTGTAGGCGGTAGCAGTTTGCACGATGAACTTGGTATGCAGGCCTTATGTAAACTTGGTGACATGGAAGTGTTTATGCGGCAGATATGTCGGTAATAACATGGTGAAAATAGCTAACCTTAGCTTTGTTTCTGAATCTTGTAGGTACATTTCTTGGAAAGCCCTATTGCTCGTAAATTTCTTGCCTTTCGCAGTTGCCTTTCTAGGCAGTTTCTCTAGCAAATGTACAATGGAAAGCACTCTAAGGATGCATAGATATGTGATGGTGTGAGAGGTTTCATGGCTTGAACCATGCATCAGTTTTCTCACATTGTTGCAGGTAGTTGGGCAAAGAATGGCACCAACTTTGAGGAACTTCTGCTTCCTGTAAAAAATATTCGTTATGGTCCCTAGGAATACTTGATCTTACTTTTTAAAATGAGTTTTGCTTAGCTGCTATTTAAAAAAGAAATCCTCATGTAAATGATGGTGCTTTACTTTTCATGTACACCTTAATTTAGGGGCCTGAGATTGGAAGAAAATTCAGATTTTCTTACATCAAATGCCATCATTTCATGGAGCCTTACAATACCTCTTAGTTCTTTGTGGTCTATTTTATGTAGTATTCTTAACTATTTATTAACTTCTGGGCAACTAATAAAATTGCTAGGGAGAAGGAAGCGAAGATAGTCATAATAAGTGACTGGTCTCCTGAGACACAGTAATGCAGGAGCAGATGTGGAAAAATTCCTGTCAGGAGTCTTTGTAATTGTCTATACATGGCCTGAGTTACTTATGACTTCAGCATTAATATGGTATTCTTCCTCAAATTCCTCTTCAAATGGACATCCTTAGAAATGACAGAAACAGTGACAGTATTTTCAGCAACTGTCAGCTATAATAACTTAAAAGTACACATTAGCTCAGAAAGCTGGCAAAACACTTGTTTTGGACCTTACTGTAACCCAGTACTAAAAGATAAGTGAATTATCATCCTGTTCTGCTGGTGAGGAAGACTTCAAGAGTTGTCAGGCTGTGGTACCCCTTTAAATATGAGTTTGGCTAGCCAGTTGCCATTCTTCTGCACCATCTAGCTGCAGTATAAGGAAAAAATTAATATAAGCAAAACTGAAAAGAACCCTGACATTCTCAGAGGTGTTTTATAAAATTTAACTGCAGTTGTGCTAAATGCACAATGCATTCTATTTATCAGATAATTTTTGTTTTAGAGTCTATGACTCTATTAGTTTCTATATAGAAAAATCAAGACTTATGTCTTAATGCTTGTATGTATCTCTGAACTATGAAAGCTTATCACATGAAACTAAATATTTCTTTATTTAATTTATACTTTTATTTCTTATTTAAAAAAATACTGGAATGTAACTCTGAAATTCAGGGATGGCTGTATCTGTCCAAGGTTAATGTTGAGATTTATTCTTAAAGCCACCATTATTGTATTCGAAGGATTTGATTCATCTGACTCAAATTAATACAATCAGGTTTTATAGAATTCAAGATTTAATACACTGAAGTCTGAGTTGTTTAAGAACTTACATTACTTTGTTTGTAGTAGAAATCAAAGTGGACCATTTAAGAAACTCACCTTTGCATTCACTCTCTAAAAAGACATACTCATTGCACTTGACATGTATTGGAGTCTTCACAAATTTATATAGGTAAATTATTCTGAAATTTTGTGTGTACTTACAGTTGCTTACAGTTACATAGGGCAGCACATTGCCTTTGGGAGGCACAAAACTTCCAGTATCTGCTCAATTAAAAATCTGATGTGTAATAGGGATTTATTCCTGATTTGAAGGTCTGAGCATCTATTTAGAAACTTTCCATGTGTGAAACCAACTATTATAGGCAAGATATGTTTTTATTATTTTAGGAAAATCAGGGTTTTTTTAGTTTGTGTAGCTGGCTTTGTGTGACAGGTACTATCTTTTGTTAGAGTTAAATAGTTGGCAAAATGATGCAAGCTTTCACATGCATGATGCTTTTATCAGGCCTGAAAATAAGGGACAGTATCATTCCTTTTAACTGGTACATGGTTTGTTGTTTTCTAGATTTTTTTAAAAATGATATGGGGGTTTCTTGTTTGTTGGGTTTTTTTTAATCCTCAGTCAGGGATGAATTAACACAACTGCTATTTCCAACCGATGCTGTTGGTTTTGTTCTGTTGTCCCAAAATGAAAGGTGACCTTGTTACTGTACTTTAAATTGTGTATGGTTTGAGGGTGGGGGAGGGTAGTAGTTTGCTTTTTCTTTAACTTTCATTCTGATGCTGATCAAAGCAATGCAGGCGATATGACCAATTCTTTGTAACTGTGGAAATTGCTGTGACTGCCCAGGGCATAAAAAATATTGAAAATAGAGGCTGGGGAAAAAGAAACAAAACCTGATTTACAGCAACTGGAAATATAAGTGACAAATGTAGTATGTGGAGTTAAATATCTCTGTACAATGCATATAAGAATTTATTTTCTTACTGAAATTCTATTAGCATATTCCAGCTCTTCTGGAAGACAAATGGGGAATGTGTTAATTTACATTAAAAGCCCTCATGTTTAGGACTCATTTTTTTTTTTTTTTGTGCACTGATGCAGTATCTGGTTCTATATTCTTTCCATTTATGTGTTGATGTCAAGCTGCAGCTCTTAACAAGACAATGAAATTGTTTGTTTGCTTTAACGATTTGTGTCTGCTAACTTGATTCTGGTGACTTATTTCACAAAGGATGAATCTTACTGTATTACAACTAGCTTACATACAGTCTGGTGACTATACAATTGTCTTTAAATGGGCATTGTCCTGAGAGTAATGCAAGAGATGCTTTGAGGCATAATCTAAAGATAATTATCTGCTGTCTTCCAGGTTTGAAGTAAAAGGATTTTTATCAATTTCGTTGTGGTTAAGTGAGCGCTGAGGAGAAAGTAACTTGAAAAGGTGGAAAAGGAGCTTAATGTGGAGCAGTAAACATGAAGTAAATCATAGGAGGAATGCAGGACGGAAAGGAAAGGTGACAGACCAAATGCTGTGATTATAAACAGGATAGAATGGGTTGGGTTGGAAGGGACCTTA